GTACTGACAGGGAAGTCCCTTCTTTGCCCCTCTGTGAGGCTCCCTGGAGATCTAAAGGAGACACCCGTGGTATGATAGGTGCCCCTTCTCCCTGGGCATGCTCTGAACTAGGCAGAGGACAAATTCAGGCTAGTAGTAATAACACTACTATATTCCCAAGTCCCTATCCTGAGGTCCTCAGACCTAGGGCTGTAGCCGTACACAACTCTTCCTGTCCAGTTGTGTACCTGGGAGAAGCTTGCCCCGCTCTGCATGGTGGGCTAGATATGCTGATCCAGCATCCTAAACCAGGACGTTCAAATCCTCCAGGGCAGTTTGGCCTAGGCAGAGCATGACCAAGGGTAGGTCCCCTCCCCACAGGACACCAGCCTCCCTTGAGTAGTGGCAAGTAGAACTGAGTAAGTGTGATCTTCTGCTTGCTCGCCCTCAGAACCTACAAGCTCTGGACTGTGTGTCCTACCTGGAAGAACTCTGGGCCTTCATGTTGTGTGTGTCAAAACACCACTCCATCTCAGGAACCCGAAAGCCTCATCCGCCTCCACTCCTGCCCTTACCTAAGGTTACGTTATGGTTGGGTGAGCCTGTCCTCTAAGAGTAGGCAGAGACGAGAAAGCGAGTGGAATCTCAGGGTACCACTCAAGCTAGGCCACCGTCTAGGCAAAAGTAGCACTCTGAAAATGATTCAGTAGCAAGCCTTGGTTGCAATGTGGCTTTCCAGCCCCAGCAAGCAAGACAAACTAAAGTGAAATGATGGGGCTCGCCTATCCAAAGATAGGAAGCAAGAGCGTGGCAGCACAGTTGGATGCTGCCCCAGCCCCAGGGTACTAACCTTAGCACAGATCAGCTCACCCTACCTTTGTGACTGAAAATGAGAAAGGTTCGTAGCAGATGTAGACAGAAAGCCTGTGATGTAACACTTTGCTTTGACATGGCTGTGGACCACTTAAAGTCCCAACATAGAAACTCGTAGTCATTGCTTGCTCTAACTCACGCCTTATAGCCTAGCAGGAGGCTCTATGTGACCCAGTCTGGACTTAGCAGGACGGAGGCCATGCCCTGCTGAGCAGCCTGGACTATAGACCTGTTCTTGCCACATGCTGTGGCTGCTCCAACCTGAGCCCTGTTGTCAGGGCATCCGTGTTGTCTGCCTTCCAGAGCTTAGAGGGTCATCAGTGGCCTCTCCTGACCTGGCCCTGTTGGAACTCTTTCCCTGACCCGCTTATGTCCAGACCATCCCAGAATACTCTGAGTGACAGCCTTGTCATTGGATCCTGGTGTGTGGGCTCAGGACCTTGCCAGTAAGCCAGGATGAGAATGCTGTCCAGTAAATAAGCTGAGAGGCCTCAGAAGATACTGACTTGGATGAGTATCGTCACGTGCTAAGAACCATGGAGCACATCCATGGTAGCAGCCACATTACATGAAGGAAGCTTTCTCTTCTTGTCTGTTTTTTGTTGTTGTTTTGTTTTGTTAATTACTGCTCGTGGCCTAATGACCTAATCTGCGATTCTTAAAATATTCCAGAAGGTGGCAGCCTGCGATATAATCATGACATCCTAAGGCATGGCCTTAAGTCCAAGCCTTGATCACTGTCCAGAAAGCCAAGAGTCTGACTTCACAGTTGGCCCAGAGAGAAAACAAAACAGATAGCGCAGGAGCCCTTGGTCTATGGCCACCACAGGTATGACAGTCCCTGCCACTGTGCACACTGGGGGGTGACTGTACCATGCATCAGAATTCCTGCACAACCTGGCTTCGCTGCCTGTGTGTGGACTAAACCATTGGCCAGGAATGTGTAAGTTGTTTCCTTACTTCTTCTAGAGCACGAAATCAGGAAAGGCAGGAAGCCTTGTCCTTGGTACGTCCATCCTGCTGTGTGCTCTGGAAGTTCCTCTGAAAAGATAGCTTTAGAGCTGAGGTCTCCTAAAGGAGTGTAGGAGCCAGACAGGTCCAGGACACCATGGGAAGGGCTCACACAGTCAACTAACCTAAGCTCATAGGGGCTCGTGGAGACTGAACCGACAACCAGGGAGCCTGCCTGGAACTGACGTAGGCACTCTGCATATATATGTTCAGTTGTGTAGCTTGGTCCTCTTATGAGACTCCCAATAGCAGGAACAGGGGTTGTCTCTTGACTCTTTAACTGACTCTTAGGACCATACTCCTCATACTGGGTTGCCTTGCCTAGCCTTAACACGTGGGGAAGTGCTTAGTCTTGCTACAACTTGATATGCCATGTTTTGTTGACACTCAGGGGAGACCTGCCCTTTGCTGGATGGAGATGGAAGAATAGGGGATTGGGGGATGGGAGTTATGGGGTAGGAAAGAGAAGGACTTGGAAGGGAGGATGGGGGGATACTGTGGCCAGGATATAAAATAAATAGATGAATTAAGAAAAATAAATAAGTTGAGGTCTCCTACCAACTCCCTAGAGCTAGGCAGCTGCTGCATTCAGGGCAGGATCCAGTCTGCTCCTCAGCACACACAGCAATGGATGCTGGAGTCAGGAGCAAACATCCCAGGTTCCAGGCCCCTGTTCTAGTCTTACCAGAGGCCCAGAGAGTAAGTCACATCTGGCTTCTGTCCTGCCTTATACATTCTTCTCAAAGAGGCCCTCTCACCTTAACTCAAGTTTTAGACAGAGCTGAGCTTGCTACTACAGCATCCCCCTCCCCCAGTATCCTCCAGGTGACATCAGGTGACCGAAGTACTCTTTCTTTTCTGAGCATTGCTGAAATCCCTCCTGTCGGCCATAAGCAGACATTCCCCACTGGGATCTCTCTTTATCCCCAGTCTCCTTTTATCCTCAGAGGAGTGGCCCAGTCCTGCCGTGAAGGATTTCACAAGCTTTGGGGTCTCTGCTGCTGAGCATGTACCTGATGAGCAGTCCAGGTGATGTGCTGAACTCTAAGTCCCAAGTGTCCCCTAGAGAGCAAACAGGAGGACCTCATGCACTAGTTTGCTTCAGAGGCCTGTATCTGTATCCACAGTCCCCAGTCTATAAGATATTTGCTTCCTGGTGGCCGTTAACTTCCTGTTAGTGACTGGCAGGGATGGGGGTGGTGTCTTATATCCAGTCAGCAAGATTTAGCACAGAAGCCAAGAAGAGACTGATTCTTAATTCAGTAGAAGCAAAGGCAGACTAGGCCTGTGGAAAGTATAGCACCTTCCTGCCAGGAACGAGACCCCGTAAACTGGAGTAGGAGCCATAGCCTGAGTTTTGCCCCCACCTCCACCCCCGGTGCTGCTAGCCTGCTGGGCATGGACAGCAAACAGGACTCTATGCTCCAACTTCCCCCGGAGTCCCTGTGCCTAACATCTTGTAGTTTTCTGTTCCAGTCTTAGGAGTCTTAGAACATTCCTGAGTCACAACCTCTGGGTATATGATGTCCACCGCCTGTATCGTACAGTGGGATTCTTCCTCCCCTGGAAATTGAACCAACACCCGTCAAGACAGAAAGGTCACCAGGCCCTGAAAACTCACCTGTCATTGCTTCTGAGATCCATTCAAAACAAAAGGTAGAATAGGGTGGCTTATGGGGTGCTAGGCCTACTGCTGAGAGGCCACTGACTAAACAGGGCAATGTCTGATGGTTCTATTCATGCCCCTAGAGAGCGCTATCGGGTAAGTTAAAGAAACAAACTAACAACAAATAGACAGGTACTGTAGGCACCTCTCTCTAGCTAACACTGGGGCCTACGGGCTGATAGGGCTGTAGCCTGGCAGTCATCCTAGTGTGTCGTGTGGCCACCTGTGTCCATCTGGATGGCCCAGGTCCAGGCTGGTCCAGCAGTACAACTGTGGTCTCCCAGGCCCCTCATCCAACTCTACATGGTACATCATGGGATCTAGGGCAGTCCGTGTGGTACATCCTGGGCTCTGAGCTCTCTATGCAGAGGGTGTGGAGAGAGATCTGTGGGGTTTTACTGGGGACAAAATAAATAGAAACAGAAGGGCAGTAGCCGTGAGCAGATGGCACAGAGCCTGCTCCAGGTTGTATCCCAGAACACCGCTCATGCAGCCTGTGAGCCCCTAGCCCAGCAAGGGGCAGCCCCCACCACACAGATGAAGAAACTTGGGTTCCAAGCACAGATATTTCCATGACTGCAAAATCGGGGGCCTCTGAATCTATAGGTCCCAATGAGGACCTTCACTGCCCCCTCCCTACCTAGGGACTAGGCAGGATTAGGTGGTGGCTTCTATTGTTACAATCTAGGGTCACCCCAGCCCCCTCCACATTATGTGGGTAAACAGGAGGTGGCCGGAGGCTCTCCGGCTACGTGAGGCAGGAAGGAGTAGTATCTGCTGTTCCAGGCAGTTTCAGGACGAGCCATGTTATTAGACCTGGGGTATAGCCTTACCCACAGCCTCTTATCTTGTTTAAACAGCCTTTGCTGTTTGAAGTGGCAGGCCTGGCGTGTACTGTTTCTGTGGATATTGCATTTGTCGCTGGGCACTTGGAGGGACACGGGTAAGCAGAGGTTGACCCCTGCCCCAACCTTCAACCCAGAGAAATCTCATTTGCTGCCAAGCAGAGAGCTTCACCCAAAGTACTCTGTAAACTAGGTAGGTCTCCCCAGCCAGTCCTCGGTGGGAAGAGACAGCAGCAGGGAGAAGAGAGGGTGACAGCAAAGGGGACTAGACAAGAATAGAGCTGAGGAAAGGGTGGACAGTAGCGTAGCACAGTTAATAAAAACCCAGTGACAGAAACTGGCCTTCAGCCTGAAGGTCAGAAAAGCTAAACAGCCAGCCATTGGCTCTTACCTCTTCCTCAGTCTGAAGTGGCAATCCTGCCTCCAGGATTCTCAGAATGAGACTAAGTAAGGGCTGTCTCCTCCCCCTCTCCCCCCACATCTTATATTCCTCTCTATTTCTGGGATTAAAGGCTTGCATCACTACCACCAGGTTTCTATGGCAAACTAGTGTGACTACTTAGATTAAAGGTGTGTGTCACCACTGCCTGGTCTGTAAGGCTGATCAGTGTGGCTGTTTTACTCTCTGATCTTCAGGCAAACTTTATTTATTAAAATACAAAATGAAATGTCACTACACACTAGACATCCAGAGTGTTTGCTTCACAAGTTGTAGCCACCCTCCTGGCTAACCCTCCTGTACCACTGGATCGGAGTGGCTTCCACAGGTTCGGGGCTATCTGCACGCAGGTAGAGGCTGTAGCTGGGTTTGGGTCTCTGGTCTGTACAGGTGTATAAGCAGGATGCACAGGACACCCAGCAAGAGGAGCACAGACACAGAGAGGGACTCTGAGCATCTGTACACAGAGCCCAGGGGATTGACCAGAGAGGGCTAATTCACAAATACAAAACCCAAGACTTCACCTGCCAAGATACGGGATCTGATGGTTCCCAGTCATGTTAAAGCTGAGTACCTCACCCAGCACCTTTCTAGGCTCTTACCGACCAACGCTCTGAGCATCAGAGCTGTAGTTACATACGATGCAGGTCACCTGTCCCTGGGAAGGTAGGCTGCTACAGGCCAGAAGCCCCAGTCACACTCCTTCAAAGCCTCATTTGGATATCTGTCACCTCCCCCAAACACAGCCTAGGCATCCTCACAGAAGTCTTGGGGTTCTTCCCTATACCACCCTGGTCATCTGTACCCCATACCAGGCACCCAAGCTTCCTTTCACCCTAGCATACCCTCACCCCCACCTGCAGCAGAGCTGCTATGCCCAGTGCCATCTGGCCCTGTCTGAAGATCACCCCAAGTTGAGGACAGCAGGTCCCGTGATGGTCAGTCATGGACGTAGGCGGATGATGTGCATGGACAAGAATATGGTCAGAATGGTGCTAAAAGCATCCCAGTGCTAAGGGGTTGAAGTCCAGACCTGTAGAAACTTCAGAGGTGGGACTCAGTAAGGCAGCCAGCTGTCTGCATCCAAAGGAAGAGCCATGTGTGCAAGCCAAGGCTACTTCTGGGGACTTCTGGGGAAAGTGGGCACATGGAGGAGGCAGGAAATGCGTTGACCAGAGATGGAAGCCCCTGGAGGATGCTCACAGGGCACACACAGGAAGGTGGGTCCCCACCAGAGACTCTCTTGATAGCTCGGACTGCCAAGTGGTCATGTCCACACTGCTGCCCCAGCCCAGACACGGTCCTCGGTGCTACCGTCTAGCTAGCCACGCTCCACGTTTGTGTCCTGTGTTTCTGGATAGGTGGAAGGACTTGGTTCTCTGAAGTTGATTTTGCTTATTGCTGCTGTCTGTCCCCCAAGCAGGGTCTAGCTCCTACTCCTCCAGGCTCCTCCCCATAGAGCACTCCAAGCCCTAAAATGAAAGTCAAGCGGAAGCATTCTCGTAAATGGAATATTGAACTGAATGGAGGGACCTGAGATTTAAGGGTAGGCGGGGCCTCTACTTGGGAAACCAGTGGCAGATCCCAGAGACAAAATAAGGTAGTGTGTGGAGCCAAGCAAGTGGTGGGCAGGCAGAAAGGGAATAAGGGCTGTGAGCCAGGCCCTCGGAGCCAGAACAGTAGGCTGGGTAGTGCCATCTGTTTCCGTACCCTGAGCACCCACAGAGCTGTAAGGCCCAGGTTGGGCGAGGAGGTGAGGTGGATGAACAGTTGTGTAGAAGTGGCCACCCTGAGGGCGAGGGCTCTGAACACAAGCAGGAGCCAGCACATTGTAGACAGCAGCCCCACCTCAGCTCCTGTCCACCCCTTGCTCCTGTCTGCTCCTGTCTGGTCCTGTCCTGTTCCCGCAGACAGGCTCCAGGGCAATAGGGCTCACTGAATCCTTAGCCTCCTTAATCCAATTCTCCAGGTGTAAGTTTGCAGGAAGAGGAAGAGTGCTAACCAGATTGGACTGGAAATAAGTCCCCAGGCATCTTCTCTGTCTCCAGATACAGCCCAAGTCCCCCGAGGCCAATATCTGTGACCGTGCCTGAAGGTGATTCTCCTTGGGGCCGAATGGTGGGCTGAGCCGAGGTGGAGGTTGGTTGTGGCTATGAACTAGGAATGCTTCAAGGATCGCCACCCTGACTCCTCTCCCTGGAAGAGGGAGAGCCCTGTCTTACTTTTCTGATGTGAATGGAGGGTGAACCTCCCCACCCGTGGATACTCCTGTTAGGAGCATGTCACCAGAGGAACCTTCCGTATTAACGGCCTACTGGCCTGTTTCTCGGGCCAGAGTAAGCCAGGAGAGCTCCCTCAAAAAGATCAAAGGAGAAGCAGGTCCCCCGACTCCCCAAGGCCCGCCTTCTACTATTACCCCTAAGTGGATATATTGGGCTAAGATGTGCAGCCTCTTCCTGTCTTTGGTCTTTATTGCTGTGTGTGAGACGGAGGGTGGAGGCGTCCTCTCCAGTTGCCATGGAAACAGCAATGCGGCTACTGAGAGTGAGTGCTAAACTGCACAGAGGGAGGGGCAGCTGGCCCTGTGTGACAGCTGCTGTTACCACCTCCCAGCAGTTCGGTGCCCAGAAAGGCCCAAGGGGCTGCCACACTCTCGAATGTGGCTGGCGTACCCAGTTTGCCCCCGAGCCTCCCTGTGAGCAGCAGGGCCAGAGGCACAGCCGTCCTGTCTCTGTGAGGGTTAGCTGGCATCCCATCCAGGCACTGGGGTAAGTATATAGGCTCTGCCCACTGGGAGCCACTTCACTGAGAAGACAGGATGGCATGGGGCAGCCAGCAGCCAGTAGTTGGCATTGTCTGGGGAGAACCAAGCATCTGGTCCCTAGGCAGATGACTGATGCCTCCCCAGCTGCATCCTATTGCCAGGAAGCGATCCATGATGCCTGCTTAGGTTTCAGCTGACTTTTCTCCGCGTCTCTCGCCTCGCTCCTCGTGGTTTCTAAGCTCCTTGAAGCCACCAGAGCATGGATAGTAACCTCCCCCATGGCTCTAAAGCAAGACAGAGTGACAGAGCCAGCCAGCTACCAAACAGGAAATGCAGCCCCACGCCTTCAGACCACCCAGTAACTGAATGCACTGGACTCTGTCTAGTCTGTCAGTGAAAGGAGACCCTGGCACCCTGCAAAGTCTCAAGGGCCTGGGGCAGGGCCCAGCTGGCAAGCCTGGCTACTAAAGTGGTAGCATGGGGCCTGGAGATAGGTCTCAGAGGTGGAGGTGAAGGGTTTAGTGCCCGGCCCAGGACACTTATCAGAAACACGATCCATTCAGGTTACTTGAGGGTCCAAGGTGGGTACTCTGTTTCCCTGAGGCAGGAACTATGATCTGGAATGTAGGAAGTGATGAACTCAAGAGTCTTGCTGCAGGCCGAGTGAAATGTGGCTCACTTACCTAACATGTACATACAGGTCCTCTCCGACAGAAGCTTCTCGGCGACTGATCTTGATGACAGTCCCTCTAATGGTCCCAGGTCCCAACAACAGTGAGCTGTTTCGGATCTAACCTGGTCATTTCCAAACCAGAGGCTTCTGATCACGAGCATGGCAGACGCTGGCAGTGCCTCGGTTTCTTTTCCTGTGGCTACAATATTATACTCTGACAAGAGCAACCAATGGGAGGAAGGGTTTGGTTTGGCTTAGAGTTCCCAGGGGACACAGTCTACCATGGTGGGGCCATGGCAGAGGAGATGTGACAGCAAACAGGGAAGGTGTGTGGTGCCAGGAGCTCCGGCTGGCTGATCACATTGCAGCCACACCCAGGAAGCAAAGTATAAAGAGGAAGTAGAGGGAGGCCCACCCCTAGTGATCCACTTCCTCCCCCAAGGCTCCATTCCCTCTGGTTTGACAGTCTTTCCTCACAGCACAACTAGCTGGGGACCAAGTCTTAAACACCTGAGCCTGTGGAGACGTTGGTTGCACACCCAAACCACAGGACAGGACGCATGAGTAAGATGCCCACAACCATTGACGCTAAGGGCAAGAGGCCTGCAGTCTAGACCGAGGGAGAGAGAGACGTTCAGACATGGCCAAGCACCCTGGGTAGAGCCATGTGGAGCTGGAAGACACCTCTGGAGATGGCAGCACAGGCTAGAGGCTAAGTGAGTCCTAGAAGAGAGAAGAAGCTGAACACATGTGCAGGGTGGGAGCACACAGCAGCCAGAATGGCTAGAACGGGAGCCTAGTAGAGGGGTCTCGAGAGGTCCAACAGAACCAAACCCTGAAGCGTGCACATCTGTTTGAGGAGAATTTGAGACACTGGAGTCCCAGACTCCAGACACAGAGTCCCAGAGCTGAATGGTACTGCTTCTAGTACTGATTGAGGCCTACACCTCAGAAGAAAAAAAAAATCCCCTAGAGGCAAATATTAATGCCCAAGTTGCCCCACAGGGATCGTCAAACCAGCTTCACCTTCTGCACAGTCCACTGAAGACCTTGTGAGACATGGTTCCTTGACAAGCCCCCTAGGTCAAGGCATTATGGCCAGCCGTGACCAGGACATGGCCCAACTGCTCGCTCAATGCTGCTGAGGCTTGCTCCATTAGAACAGGGCATTCTGAGCCTGGCAAAATGGCCTCTGGAACATTTTCCCTTCTGTATAAGGAGGCCGTGCAGGTCCCAGCCCCCTCCCGTGTGGGGCCTACCCTCGTTCTTCAGCACTTCCTCCATTCCACCTAGGATCCAAATTGTCACCCCATGGAACTGGCTCCTGCTTCTAGCTCCTTGGCCTGGGGATAGATGCAGGCCAGGATCTTGTTCCTCAGAGCCCATGCTGAATGATCTCAGAGCCCGAAAGGAAAATCGAAGTTAAGAATTCCTGACAAGGAACGGACGTCCAGGGGGACATAAACTAAGCTCCCCAGCCCCTGCATTGTTGGCCAGACTGGTCTCTTTGCCATGAAGTTCAGGGGTAAGGCACATTGCACTTGCTCCCTTGAAACCTATCCGTCAACTCCTCAGCTATAGCACACTTCGAGTCTTCCTGGCTTGGGATGAAATAGGCATCTTTCTCTTACCTGGAAGACCCGCCCTTCTCTCCAGAGCCAAGCTGTTTTCACAAGCTCCTCCATGCTGTGGACCTGCCGAGCTTAGGTCCACCCACCTTCTCCCCCTGCTAGAAAAGTTCTTTCTGTAGAGCTCAGGATAGTTCGGGGAAGTGGCCGAGATACTTAATGTCCACTGGATGCAAGGCACCAGGCTCTGGTCCTTCTCTAGACACTGTGACGATGAAATCCATTCTATACCAAGAACCCTGACCGGGACAGGACGCGGTCGTGGCGCGTCAGTGGCTCCTATGACCCTCAAGCCATACAGCCGTCTGGTAGACAGCCCCTCACATTGACACTCCCAAGCCTTTCCCTACAGTGGAAGGTCCCACAAGCTTAGCTGTCACTCTGTGAAGACCACCAGTATAAAGCCAGTAAAACCTGTGAAGTCCCTCCCCTCCGGGCATTGGCAGTTTGTTGCTCTGACTGGGTCAGGCCTGCTAACTCAACTATGGGATTGACAGTCTGGTGAGTGGAACTCATTCATGACCCAGACCAGCCCCACTTGTAGGGTAAAAAGCTGAATTTTTTTTTAGAAAAGTATTCTGGGCTTTTCTACCACAGACTGACTAACTTGAACTTCCCATTACTGCACAAGAACTGATTTGACCTACAGGTGAGGGCAGGGTAGTCTCTCTGTCTGCCCACACACCTGGTCCCGAGACCACACGCCTGGCCATATCCCCTCACGGTGCACTAACAGGTACTAGCAGGCCCCTCAGCCACAAAACCTAACTGAGATGCCCCCTGTTGCCATGAGCCCCCACTTCATTCTCACTGCTAGCAGAAATCCGGGCCGCTTGCAGTTCCCTGAGCCAGGGTCCGGGGCTGAGCTGTCTGTTCCGCTCCAGCCCTCAGCCACCCTGCTTTGGAGGTGCAGTTACATTGCTGACGTAGAAGTGGGCAGACACTGCTGGTGATTGGCAGGAGGGGGACTTTCGCCCCGCCTCATCCACTGTCCCTTCACTCCCCTCACCCATCCCACCACCTAGATGGTACCTACCCACCCAGAGAGAGGGCTGTGTGTTGTTTGGGGAACGTGGGAATCCATGGACAGAAGCAGCTGCTACCAGAGCTGGGGTTCCCAGACCCCTCATGCCCAGGGTTCATATCGGTCCCAGGAAGAACGGAAACCTTGCCTGCACTTGATGTGAGGTCCGAGGCTTGAGGCCCCAGGTTGGGCAAGATGTTAATTAAGCCAGCTTGGCCCTGGGCCTTGTGGGTGGAACAAAAGGACAGGATGGATCCATGTGTGACAGTCCCTTGCTCCTCTGCGCATCCCGCAGCCAGCAGCAGCAAATTCCACAGCACGGAAGGGGAGACCTCACCTGGCCGCAGCATGTGGTGAAGTTCCTATCTAATAATAGTAGCACGTGCTTAGCATGAGGAGATGTTTATATGTGGCTTCCCCAAACCAGCATGGGCATGCACCACCTGACTAGGGGTACCCGCTACAGGGGTGCTTACACAAATGGGGGGGGATGGGTTGGGAAAGAATTAGACAGGACCAGTATCTGAAGGACTATCTACATACAGATGGAAGCCAAAGGAAGCTGAGATATCCTGGGTCCCCAAGAAGGCTTGTTGGGGAGATCATCCCCCGTGAAGAGAAGCCTAAGCTACCACCGCTTTCGGGGTGGGGGTGACTGATTGGCGGCTTCCAAGTGGGTGTGGGTCCTGGAGGAATGGCCACAGGACACACCTGAGCATCAAGCCTGGCCACCTCCTTCCTTAACGGCGCTAGTAGGACCTCCATTAGAGGAGCTATTCCGTGGGTCAAAGGAGGAGAACAAGTCTGTGCCTTTTCACTGAGGCCTTTTTCAGTGCATGGTCTGGGGGTTGAAGTCTTTTATTTTGCTTTAGACAGTGTCTCGCTATGTAGTCCAGTTGACCTCAAACTGGCAGGCCCGCTTCCCAAGGGCTGGGTATCTTTTCAGTTCAAAGAGGAAACTAAAGTCCAGAGGCTTAGCAGAAAACATGGCTGTTCATCTTGAAAACTGTCTTAGCTAGGGTTTCTGTCGCTGCGACGAAACACCATAACCAGAAAGCAAGTTGAGGAGGAAAGGGTTTATTTGGCTCACACTTCCACATCATAGTCCATCACTGGAGGAAGTCAGAACAGGAACTTAGGCAGGGCAGGAACCTGGAGGCAGGAGCTGAAGCAGAGGCCGTGGAAGGGAGCTACTTTCTGCCTTGCTTCCTCTGTCTTGCTCTGCCTGCTTTCTCAAAGAACCCAGAACCACCAGCCCAGGAATGGCACCACACCACCATGGGCTGGGCCCTCCCGCATTGATCACTAATTGAAAAATTTCCTTACAGCTGGATCTCATGGAGGTATTTCCTCGACTGAGGCTCCTTCCTCTCTGATGGCTCCAGCTTGTGTCGAGTTGACACACAAAGCCAGCCGGTACAAGAACTTTATGACTCTGACAGCAGAGCCGCTCTTTATTTCATGTGGAAGGAAGGCAGTGGTCACTGCAAGCCCCACACTGGGGCCTGTGTGGTGAGGTGTCTGGCCAGGCACATCTGGGCATGTGCCAAGTGGAAAATCAAGGCCTCTGGCGGAGGTGAGGGACTTGGGTCCCACATGAACTCCGGGTTATGTGTGTACGTGTGTTTGATTTAAAACAAAACAAAACAAAACAAACAGAAAACCCTCTTTGGGAGCTGCTGAGCTCAGCCTGTTAGCACAGGTGTGAGGTGCTGACAAGCCAGCATCCTGCCCAGAGTGACAAGGGACAGAGTGGTGTCCTGAATGATAGGACTGGCCCATTGGGACAGTAGGAGTTCTGGGAGCACTTTAACTCAGAGGTAGCAGCAGAATGGGAGAATGCCCATTATGAAGGTCCAGATATTACCCTTAGAAACTCAGTCAGGATACAGAGAGGCTACAGACGGAGGCTGTTAAAAATGAGCCCCAGATTTCGTATGCATAACCAGGGACATCTGCCACTGAGTGTCACCAGATGTGCAGAAAGGGAACCAAATGGCTAACCTGGCACAAACACCCTGCGGCTAGCCTCCTTGAAGAGTCATTCTAACCAGTCCTGGTTCGGCTACCATAGGTGCCGGCCCCTGGAGGCTATACTGGGCGAAAAGACCCCTGGATTCTCAGGCCGACGTACTTGAGGGCCCTTAGGAATGTGCCATAAGCTCCCTTCCACCCCTGTGTAGGAAATCCAAGTGCAGGCAAGCACCACCCTGGGGTAAAAGAGGTTATGTGGCATTGAGTACATATAGAGCCATCTGAACGTGTCACAAATGTCCGAGGTACAGCTACAACCCTCTGGGAACTGTTACCTAGCCTCAATGTGGCTGACATGACTTGATACAAATCACTGGTTCCCACCACCAAGCAGCAAGATTCCCACATTCCCACACTGCATGGGCTTCTGTCAGAATCATATGCTCTGTGTTATTTATATAAACGAATGTTCAGATGAACCCCAGCCTCCTAGAAAATGTCAGTTTCTGTAGAGAAGGAGCCCTTCGGAGAGCTGAGTGGCTAAGGCCTGACTGGCCTCATGGCAACAGCTGACCACAGCACGGCCACCATGGCTGCACCATTAGTGACTGGAGAGGTAAAGGGAAGGGGGATGGCCTGCCAGGAGAGAATAATATGGTTCTTAACCAAGCTCTAGCGAGTCAATACCACCCTAGGGCTTGGTCCCTGTGTAAAAGCAAATGCTCCCCATAGCCACTTTTACCCCAGCAAGTGGACTGTGGCCTTGCTTGCTTGCAGCTCCTCAGATTCCAGGATCAAAAGAAAACATGTTGTGTTGGACTAGTGGAGTCGTGGCTACCAGCCTAGGGGCGCAGTAGAAGTCCCCGCCACACCACCTCAAGAAGCAGGTATGACCCCTGAAGCCAAGCAGGTGGAAACGGAGAACAGACAGGAGAGAGACTCCATAGACTGACTAGGGCACAAGCCAGATGTGGTTTGGGAAGGAAAGCAGCAGCCTCCTAGAAGAAGGAGCCTGAGGTGACGCCCTACAAGAAAAGTAGACTATGCACAGATGAGAGGCCAGCTTCAGCCCTCCCGCCCTCACCCCTGCACTGCCTGGCTTCTGCAGTTACAGCCTGGGATAGCATAGCTCTTCCTACGGTGCTGCCACTGGCACACGAGTCTCCAAGAGTGTGGCTACCATGAAACTGGCCCTAAGGGCATTGGACTCATTGGTAGGTGCCACCATCACCCCCAAGGTTGCAAGACCCCCTCCCTGGTCACTGGATCCTCCAGTCAGCTTCATTTGGGCAGAGTCCTGATTGTGATCACCTGCCGTTCTTTTGTCCTTCCTACCTCTGCCACGGGGCCACAGGCAATCACAGAGCCTCTTGTCTAGGGACAGAGTCAGGCAGGATGCGGCACCTGCCTCACTTGCTAGGCCCTCACACTGAGAGGTCCTGCGCTGGAGCTACTGTGACCATGCTGGGCTTTCTAACCGACCATCCTGATTGGCTCCCAGGGCAGTTACTCACATCCACTTTACAGAGCTTCCGTGCTCACATATGGACAACACACCCAGCCCTGGGACTCTCTGGAGGACGGAAGGATGTGACTAGCTCGGGAAGTGCCATCGCTCTGAAGGCCCATGTCTCCGTGGGCCCACAGGCCGAAGGCACAGCCATTTTCCCTGCAGGCTTTTCTGATTCCTCCTGGGCAGGTACCAAGAGATGGGACCGTGGGGACAAGTGCTATTAGAGGTGCATCATCTCCCAGAGGAGTGCTGAATGGTGGTCAGTGTGGCTCTGTAGTCCTCAAAAACTAGAGGGGTCACCAGGAAACCTGAGCTTGAACCCGCAGCAGAGCAAGAGGTGCCTGAGATAAAGGGAGCTCCTGAGCTTCCTAGACACCTAGTCCTACCCCCTTCTGCCGCCTGCCACCCCGTGAGCTAGGTGCCTGGGTTCCATGATGTCCTGAGTCACAGGTGCGAGGCTTAGTCCTGCAGGGCCCCAGAGTCTGAGAAGCACCAGCGGGGAAGTGGTTCAGACAGCTGGGGTGGAAAGGGGTTCATGGTGCACACAGAAGCTGGGGCAGTCTCAGGGATGGTCTTTGGGCCCTACCTGCTGCTACCCCTAAAGGTCTCTGCAACTGAGCCCTTCCAGCAGATGCTGTCCTAAGAAGACTGACCTCTGGCCAGCAGTTGTGTGTCAGGCATTACAGCACCTTTACATTGTCCTCCTGCCCCTCTAAGCCACATCCCACTTTCTGAACACCCCTGGGCTGACCTGGGTCCAAGAACCACTTCAGCCATCATCGCAATTGACCCATCTTGACTAAGGGAACCCCCTACTCTATGATTCCCATCCCCCTTACAAACCAGAAGAAGCCCCCTAGTCGCCCGTGGATGGATTCCAGAATCCCTATCAAGGCTCACAACTCTGAGACTTCCTCCATGTAGCATGAGAGTCGTGGCCCCATGCACTCAGGACATGCTCGGCAAGCCTGCTCGATGAACTGAGGAATATGTGCTAATAGCCATATCTGATACAGAATTTGGAGTCAGAAGCAAAAGCCCCAATTATGACATCATTTCTATGAGAAGTGACAGCTCCGTCCCCACAGTCATCTTTACGCTGCAGTTTCCAGGAATCCATTAGAGCTAATTGTTCTCCCAGTAGGATGGAACATCCCTAGACCACCACCCACTGATCTCACTTTGAGAACATCACATCCAGGCCTGGTTCAACTGCAAAGGAAGGCGCTGGTTCTCTTGTGTGCCGCCAGGCTTGGGACCCTGCTTCCTGTTTCTCAGTAGGAAGGTCAATTTAGACCATGCCAAAACCTGGGGTTACTCGCTTTTCAGAGTTTCTTCTGTATTGATTGTATCAACTCCAAACAAGGGATTTGCAAAACATAGTCTTCTGGGTAGGCAAGTCTCAGGATGATGACAGGTACCTTTGTACACCCTCCTTGTTCTGCACATCTGCTTCCTCCAGCAGAGGCACTGCCAAAACCTCTGCCTCGGAGAACACGGGGTCTGTAAAGCTGGTTTCTGTGTGATGCCCTGAAACTCTGCCCCCAGGCCACTTCCTTGCACAGGACTGCAAGCCCACAGCTCCTGGTGAGGGACTTGGAGCACATCTCCTACCTCTCCCTGCCTCAGTTTCTCCATCAGTAAGATGGAAACAGGAAGGCATGAGGGTTACGTAGGCAGAACCTTAGCCCAGAAGCACCACCATTGTCACCGCAATCATTGGGGATGCTGCTGATGCTTTGTGTGCACCTTGTCAATGCCAGTATCACTGGCATTAATCACTGACTGGTATCTCGATTGATCATGATATAAAACTGACTTAACTTATCTAGGAATTTGACTTGCTCATTTTATCTTAAAGTGACAGTCAGCTTCCACCAGCAGTGATTCCAGGTATGGGCAGTTACTCACTTTAGAAATAAGATTTGTCCATGTCCTGGGAAGGCAGACATACCCCATACGCCCCAAAGTCACTATGCACATTACATATTCTCAAAACGGGGGAGGGGCGGGAAGGGGCCAGAGACTGCTCGGCCACTTGATCACAGCTCTGTCCCAGGATGTCACCCTCACTCTGTATGTGTGCAAGCCTGCCTGGCCAGACAGCATGGTCAGACACCCACTACATGTGAGCCCATAAAGCCAGTGAAGGAGACGGGCAAGGGGCAGTGACCGCAACTGTTCCAGCTTACAGAAGCACAGGCTGCCCCTCTGCAGGTGCCGCATGGCAGAATTAAGTTTTCCGGGGACTGCGTGAAACCCAGACTTGCGTTGAAGGAATAACTCCTCTTGGAAGACTTGAGTTTCGAAGTGTGGGTGTAGAGAGGTTCAGGAGCTAGCCCTGTTTGAAATGGGTCCTTAGAATAAGTATGGAAAGACCTGCATCCCTAGGGTGCGAGGAGGCTCGACTGGGCACTGCCTCGGTCCTCATACCGCAGATGGAGGCTATTTGAGCATCATTGCCCGAGAAGGGGTCTGGAAGTGGTAAAAACCCCTAGGTACTCAGGAGGAAGTAGGCTGTCGGTTGTTGCTGAGGGAGATGGGTAAAGACTGATTTGAACTAAAGAGGGGAGGACTCCTGGCGGAAGTGTGATGCTGGGGGGAGGAGCCTAGCACTAGGCAGGCAGTCTCGGCAGCGCCTCCTGGCGGCGAGGCTGTGGGTCTAAGTTCTCTCTCTCTGCTCACTGCGAGACTAACGCCAGCGCTTCCCTCCTCACAACCCCAGAGCCGAATGGCAGAAAGCCTACGCCTGTTTGACTCCATCTGCAACAACAACTGGTTTATCAACACCTCGCTCATCCTCTTCCTGAACAAGAAGGACCTCCTGGCAGAGAAGATTCGGCGCATCCCGCTCAGTGTCTGTTTCCCAGAGTACAAGGGTCAGAACACGTACGAGGAGGCTGCGGTCTATATCCAGCGTCAGTTCGAGGACCTAAACCGCAACAAGGAAACCAAGGAAATCTACTCCCACTTCACCTGTGCCACCGACACCAGTAACATCCAGTTTGTTTTTGACGCGGTGACAGATGTCATTATACAGAACAATCTCAAGTACATTGGCCTTTGCTGAGGAGCCAGGCACAGCCCACTTGCCTGTGGTGAAACCCACGGGGTGTCATGCCCCAACTCATGCTAGAGAGGCCCAACCCCACGGGCAGAAAACAGGAGGCTTGAAGAATGTGTCCCCACCCCACCCCCAGCCTCTGCCTTCTTGGCCCCCACGTTTCCGCAAACATAAATATATTTGGATAGATTGCTAGGTAGGTAGACACGCACACACGCACATCCGGAGATGGCAAAGTTCCCCAAAGTGTCGAGGTTTCCTCTTAAGGAGCTGCTGTCACAAGTTCGTTCCAAGGCCATCTCGCCCCCTTCACTCTGCCTTCCTGAGTTGGCCCCACTCTGCATGGGGGTTCACATTGGACTGCCCTGGGGGAGAGGCTGCAGGACTGGGACCAGGTCCAGCCAGCTGTGCCCCTTGCCCGGAAGAAGGCCAGCTCACCAACTGAGCTCTGGACTGGGGACTATCACTGACCAGGAGGGAGGCCCAGAGCAGGGACTGTGTACCTTCCCTGCCAGCCACACCCAGCTCAGCCACTCTGCACCACGTGTGCCCAGTACCTCGGACCTGGGGAAAGAAGGGACTGTCGGAATCGGACCTCTGACCACTGCTGGCTCTTTTTAAACAGCTAAAATGGATGCAGCAAAAATGAACCCGGGAAAATGAGTGGCATCGTTTCTTTCAAACTAGGCCAGCTAGGTTTCCAGCTTCCCTTCTGGCTGGTCTCATGTTTTATAAAAGGAAACCTGGTTTTTCTTCTCTGGCATCTTCGTGGGTTTTTTTGTTGTTTTTTTTTTTTAATTTTTATTTTTGGCCAAATTTTTATGTTTCGCAGAAAAAAAAAAACCTACGGTTTCGGATGTGATTAAATATTCTTTTTTAAATGCAGATTTTCAAAACACGTTTCATTTCAGGTGTCCCTTTTGTGTCTGGCTTGCTGAGTATAGAAGCTGTCATTGGACGATTCTGCTCCTCGGCTCCAAAGAATTCTGGGGCAAGTGGCACCCCGACGCCAGCCTCATGGGACATATGTACATAAGCCTCTGCAGCGTCCTCTTGTAATTGGTGCCGTTTTCTGCTTTGTTTTTATTTAAGAAAAAAAAATAAATGTGATGTATTTACAGAAGGTTCTTTACCTAGGAGCGGATGAACAATAGCTAAATGTCTTGATATTTAAGGTGTAAATTATCTATGGTTTTGCCAAATGAAGGAAGGGGAGGCAAGAGATGCTACTCCCCGGTCCCCAGATACTTCGAGCCTGAGGTGGGCTGGGAGCTGCTCAGACTCCTGTGAAGGCACAGCCAGAGTTGTGGCCTGAAGGAAGCCCTGCTGGTAGCGTGCATTCCAGGCTTTCTGGTCCCAGGGCCCACAGGCGCTGGTCCTAAAAGAGCCCTGGCTGTGCACAAATCCAGAACCCCTGCTGCCTAGGGGATGGCACCACTAGAGCCCTTGCCAAATCTCTCTCAACCCTTTGTCTGGTACCCATGAGATGAAGGTCAATGTATAGAAGCGCAGCCAAGGAGGCGGGATGTACAGCAGGAGAGAAAAGCTGATGAGCATATAAAAGTCAAAGATTGTCTACTTTAAGAAAATAAAATACCCTGAATGGAGCCAGACCTTGTTCCTGTGTGCTGTGTGAGGCTCGTGTGCAGCTTGACTCGGCGCCATCTATAGCAGCTGGAGACACTTTCCACGCTGGGGTCTCTCCCACTCCCTCCCCACATCTCCTCCAGGGAGAACTCCAGGCAGAGCCCTGAGCGCAGGACAGCTGACATCCACGCAAACATCTCAGGCACAGATACGCAGACCTGGGTCTCTGGTTCCCCTACCCTCCTACCTATGTGGGAATCTTCTTCACATGTCCTCATGTCACCAACGGCAAGAACCTAAGGGGAGGGTGGGGGCTTTGTTTAAGGAGATAAAACGTTCAACTGTGCCGGGCGGAGGTGGCGCACGCCTTTAGTATCAGTACTCAGGAGGCAGAAGCAGGTGGATCCCAGCGAGTTTGAGGCCAGCCTGGTCTCCAAAGTGAGTTCCAGGACAGGCTCCAAAGTTACACCGAGAAACCCTGTCTCAAAAAAAAACAAAAAAAGAAAAAAAATGTTCAACTGTAAATCATTGAGGCGTACTTTGTTCTTTTAATACCAACTGTGAAACAGAAAACTAATTTCACTGTGAGCATCTTTAACCTAAAAATACACAGCTGAAGGGAATATAGAAAGATCCTGCCTCCCTTGGTGTGTGCAGGGAGCAGAGGAGGCCTGACCCAGGAAATGGCTTTCCTCTGGAGCCCCATGAACACTTTCTCGTGATCCCTCCCAACCCCTGCAGTGGTAACTTGTCCTGTTGCTATGGTTATTACTATGGTTAAAATAACCGAGAAAGGCAGCTTAAGGAAGGAGGGATTTACTGGCTCACAATATGAGGTTCTAGGCCGTTATGGTGGGGAAATCATAGCGGTAAGAGCAGCTGATGACATTGTATCCATGGTCAGGAATATGCGTGTCCACTTGTCCCTTTGTGTTCTGTCTGGAACCCAGCGTGTGACATGGCGCTACCCTGAATCAAAGTGGGTCCTTCCCTCCTTTGTTTACCTAATCTACATATTCCTTCACGGACTTGTCCGGTGACTGAGCTAATCTATCCCGCCCGCTGACAACCAGAATGCCTGCCCAGAGCCTTATCTTCTAGGAGAGTCTAGACCCTGTCAGGCTCACAAGCAGCATCAACCACCATATCCTCCCCAGACAGACCTCCGTTCTGCGCTCCGCGCTGGTCTCTCTGGATGTCCACCACAGTTCACCTGTGACGGTTCTTCCTTCGCTCTTGCTCTCCCACCTCACAGTCCTGGATATGTCCATCCTTCAGGGTCAAGCTTAAATCCACCTCAGCCTGTCTGTAAATCTCATCCCTCCCCAAGTCCCTACCTTCCCATGCTCACCTACTCCATGTCAGTATAGGCAAATTCTACTCATTCAGGTCGGTATAATATAGCAAGTTCCACTGATTCCTCCGCAAGGTGCTGCCTGACCCATCTCCTTCCCTCCTGGGGGCACAGGCTGACCCTCAGGGTCCAGGAGAGGCCTACCAGGTAAATACCAATAGCCAGCCTTAGCAGGGAGATTGGCAACAGGCAAAGGAAATAAGTGAGAAGCTGATGACAAAAATAACTGAAGGAACTGGCCCTCCTCTCCGGGTTCTGTCCAGCCTTTCCCCCAAGACAGCACCGTCTGGGATATGACCTTCCTTGGTGGCTTGTATGGTCACTGATGCAGGGCATCCTTGATGGTTGCAGTGATGCTGGCTGCTCTTGACAGCTGTGCTCTGCATCCCGTTCCTAAGAGGCTAAGATTGTTGATTCTGATTGACCAATGAGGAAACGGCATGGGAAGATGCTCACTTGGTCAGGTGCTTGCCGCTTAAGCATGAGAATCAGAGTTGAACTCCTGGCATTGCCATGAAAAGCTGGGCATCGTGGTGTGGGTTTGTAACCCTAGTACTGGGGATGTGGAAACAGGCATATTCACGGTGCTTGCTCGCCAGCCTAGCCTACCTCCCAGTAAAATAACTTGTCTCAACATAATAAGATGGACAGTTCCCAGAGACTAAAACCCAAGGTTATCTATGGTTACACACACACACACACACACACACACACACATACACACACACACGCCTATATGCACGCACACACAAAGGTAGGGACCCTAACGGGACAAATTACCACCACAAAACAGCATAGCAAATGACTTAGTCAGTCTGTACCCCCAAAGGCTTGTAGGTGGTCTGTCTAGACCCTAGATAAAAGCAGACATCTAAGACAAGACAAATGGGCGGAGAGCGGGCCCAGCTGGCATAGGGGCAGACGTCATGGAGAGCAGCACTGCACTATGAGGGTGAGCAGCCACCAGAAGCTGGATGGCACTCTGGGGGACTCATCTCCCCCACAGAAGCCTAATAGGAAGCTTCAGGACTGGGGTAGTTCCTGCACCAGGTGCCAGCCAACACAGCCTAGAGTGCGGTCCCAGGGGACCTAGTCCCTTCGGTAATTGCATTGTTAATAGGCTGTTTTGAACCCGAAGGGATAGTATGAGAACCTAATGGAAGTAGCTGTGAAAGGCTGCTTGGCCCAGGAGAGCTGTTGAGACTAAGTTCTAGGACCCTAGTCAGTCTTGACAGGGACAAGACGGGTAAAGGATCTATCCTGCTGGAGGTTTCGGGGTAGAAAGGAGAGGAGGAGACACCAAGAAACGATTGACAGCAGCCCAGAAACCAAATAGATCCTTGTAGCCAGGCATTATCCTAGCTCAGGCCAGGGACAGGACAGCTTGGACTGTCAGGCTAAGGACATGGGTGTGGTGTCAGCTGCAAGGGGAGTGAGGGCTTCCTGGAGTACTTCATAGGCCCCCAGGGAACGGGCAGATGCTGCAGAAGAACAAGGGTCGCCTGCCCAGGGCTGAGGTATCCTAGTGAAGGGACCGTCTCTCCAGCAGCCCTTCACTTTGGGGAATAGCCGGTCCCTACAGGTTCAGCTCCCGGTGGAAATAGCTTCCCAGATCTCACTCAAGCCCAGACAGTATGACTCCAGGGGAGCTCCCTGTGGCACTTTAGCCTTGCCAGGTTCAAGACCGCACGCAGACGTCTTCCTGTGGCGTCCACTGCCCACCACTGAGATCTAGACATGGTCCAAAGCCAGGGAATGATTTCCACACATGGAGGTTGCACCCCATCAATGGCTGCGAGTACCTCTGTTCAGAAAGGGTACCTGCATCTGCCATCAGGCCCTGACCCAAGGCCAGAGACAGCAAATTATACCTAACACCTCTAGATTTGGGGCCAGACTCAACAGGAGGGAGTAGTGTGAGAAAGGACCAGGCCAAACTCACTCAGATACCCAGCCGGTGCCTGAAACAGAAGAGGATCCTGGGTGGGCACTCGAGGCCACCAGTTTCTGGGGATCCTGGCCTGGCAGCCCCTTTTGTGGCATTTATGTCTTCTGTTTTGGTTTCTCTTCTCATAACAGGGCAACCCCTTAGGACCTGAGAAGCCAGTCACTGGGACAGGCCCTAGTCCTGGAGCACCCCCTGCTGGTTATTGTAGGAACAAGACAGACCTTGGTAGTGCCAAGGATTCGGAAGGAGAAAATATACTTCTGCCGGTACACCCACCTGCTAAACAATATTAGCTATACACAAGGTACTCTAGAGGCCAGGCACCGGTGGTGCCATGGGAGCAACAGTGGCAAGGGCGCCATATGGACAGGAAGCCCCCTAACATACGCTGCAACCTAGCTGAGCGCCCAGACAAACGACACAGGCTCCCCCCAACAGCTACTGCCCAGTGTCACATACTGATGAGAGAGATGCCGAAGTAGAAGTCCATGCCCCTCCAAGAAGCCCAGCTAGGACACCATGTGGCATACAGCCCAGCATACCAGCGTACCTGAAAGCCACAACACCCGAATGACCCCAAGATTCATCTCCCCAGGCATTACCACTCTGTCTCCCTTCCTCTGTCTGTTGTCCCAGTCACCACCCCAGCCCCTGCTGCCAACCCCTCCACCAGGCTGCCCTGCCCTGCCCTCTGGAAACCTCATCCACGGTGATTAGCACCCATCATAGCCTGTGACAGAGAGCTGGTGCCAAGATCTCCAGAGAGACTTGTGTTCGCTGGGCTTGTCAGCGCAGCAGACCCGCTACTCCTCATGTCATTTGGGATAGACTCCCTGCTCTTTGTGTTGCTTGGGTTCTACGGGGAGATGGGCGGGGGCATCTGAGAGAACCCAGGACACCATTTCAGAGCCCTGGCAGTATTGATTGGTAAGGTCTAGAAAGAAGACCTTTCTAGAAGCTCCAGTCGGGGTACAGCCTTCATAATCTAAAAGTGAGAAACAAAGGCTCCTGCTTCCTAGGAAACATGGCAGAGTGTCTTCACGTACTCGGGATAGTCTATCACACTCATGCCCAGGGCCCATCTTCTAGATGATTCTGGATCTCACTGAGTCAGCAATGAAGACTAACCATCATGCTACCCAACCAGTCCAGGAAAAGTGATATTGTCAGTGCAGGTAGTCAGCAAACACTTGGGATCTAGGACAACTCCTTCAGGTTAACAAGAAGTAGAAGAAGAACTAATTGGCAGGATGGATCCCAGCTCCCTAGAGGCACCGAGCAGAGAGGAGTTTGAGGTCATGCCAAGAAGAGAGATGTTCATTCTCACTGGTCACGGCCATGGGCAACACTATACAGCAATGATCTACCACAGCACACCATTGGGCTAACTGACAAGAATGCCACTGGCTGGGGGAGGGGAGGCCGGGGAGCAGTTTGATATTCTGCTAAGGTGAAGGCAGGCATGCGTCGGGGGCCAGCATCACCTTCCCTAGCAGACTCCATAGAACATCCCTCTTGTGAACCAGAAAAATCTGTGCAGAGATGCAAGTCTGTGCAGAGACACTCATTACTCATTCCTTCAGTGGCCCAGAACTGGAAACAGCCAACATGGGAATATGTCACAATACATTTAAGAGCTGGGCATGGTGGCACTCACCTTTAATCCCAGCACTTGAGAGACAGAGGCAGGAAAATCTCTGAGAGTTCGAGGCCAGCCTGGTCTATAAAGTGAGTTCCAGGACAGTCAGGGCTGTTACGCAGAGAAACCCTGTCTCAAAAACCAAAACAAAACAAAACAAAATTTATTCAGATGGCAAAAGAGTACAATGAGAGTCCAAGACCCTTCGGTACAACATGGGTACATTTCAAAATTATAATATTAAGGCCAGTGAGGTGACTCCACAGGCAAAAGCACTTGCCACACAATCATGGCGACCTGAATTCTATCCCTGGAATCCACGTTTAAAAAAAAAATGGATGCAGAAGCAAGCATGTGTAATCCCAGCATTCCTAGGGCAGAAGCAGAAGGCAGAACCCGACATGCCCAGAAGTCCATGGGCCATCTAGCCTGGAGTATGCAGGACATGGGAACATGTCGCAACGCATTCAAGAGCTGGGCTTAGTGGCACACACCTTTAATCCCACAGCAGGAC